GGCCCACGGCTGAAGGGAGGGGCGAGAGGAAGATGGAAGGCAGGGCCACCACACAAGTGGCTCGGAGACTCCAGCTAAAACTTCAACAGATTGACAAAGAGCCCCTGGGAGCATGGACACGAGGGCGCAGCTCTATGGACCTCCCCTGGGGGTAGTAGCACAGGGAGCCTCGCTTGGGGGTTCAGGTCTGAAAGAGGGGGGAGCCTTCTCTACAGAACAAAAGTTGTGAGTCACTGGGGGAGGGTAAGCAAACTTGACACTCTGGGGACAGATGAAAATCAGGGCTGGGGGAAGGGAAGACTACCCTGTGCTTGGGGGGTGGGGATGGGCAAGGGGCAGGAAACGACCCTGGGCCCAGACAGTTAGAACCTCCTTCAGCTGAGGGAGGGCTGAGCCCAAGGACGGACCAGGACAGCAGGGGTTGCTCCATCCCCGCTTCCCCAAGTCTAACAAGTGCTGAGCAACAAGCCACAGCAGGTTACTGCGGGTGGAGGAAGCCTCTGAGGTAGAGAGACACACGGGAGGCTGAGCGCCCCCGCCCTGCACGAGAAAGTGCCTGTGGAATCTGAATCTGGTGGCGCCCTGAAGGCAACTATGGGCACAAAAGAACCCAGCCCAGCTCCTGACTGAACTGACTCTGCCTTTCACTCTAAGTTGAGCAGGAGAGGCTGTGCTTCCAGACATACAGTTTGCCTCTTTCGCTGTCCCATGAGTGATGGCTGACATTCAATAAAAAAGTAAGAGATACCAAAAAAGAAAAGGTTGTGTGAGTGCACGCACGTGTGTGCACACACACACACACACACATACACACAATCAAGACACTAAGCGGCAATATGCCAGGCTCAGAGGTGACCCGTGTGTCGGAACAACCTGCACGATCAGACACAAGACACAGCGACAGAGGTAAAGGATGCCTTTGATGTGCTCGTCAGTAGACTCAGCTCAGCTGAGGAAACGACCAGGGAGCTTATAAATAGGTCAACAGAAATTATTCAAACTGAAACACAAAGAGAAAAATGAACAGTAAACAATAAAAACAACACTGAACAGAGCTGTGGGTCAATACTGAACAGCCCACCTTGCATGTTGTTAGAAACCCAGGAGAAGACAGAGGACAAGGAAGTAAAACATCTGAAAAGATAATGGCTGGGATTTTTCCAACAATAACGGATGATATCAAAACAGATCCAAGATCAGAGAAACACAAACGGCTTTCCTATTCAAACTCCTAAAAACCAAAGAGAAGGAGAAAATCTTAGACACAGCTACAGGGAAAAAACCACAGAGAACACAGAGGAACCAATGTAAGAAACACAGCAGACTCGTCATCCGAAACCTTCACGACAGAAGACAATGCACGGACATCCTTCGAGTGCTGAGAGGAAAACACATGTCAATTTACAACTCTGTGCCCAGAAAAAATACCTTTCAAAAAAAAAAGATAATTTTTTGAAAAGAAAGAAACCAATGGAGAGAGTTCCCAACCATGAAATCCACATTGTTAAAGGAAGTTCTTTTTTTTTTTTTTTTTTTGCGGTATGTGGGCCTCTCACTGTTGTGGCCTCTCCCATTGTGGAGCACAGGCTCCGGACGAGCAGGCTCAGCGGCCATGGCTCACGGCCCCAGCCGCTCCACGGCACGTGGGATCTTCCCAGACCGGGGCACGAACCCGTATCCCCTGCATCGGCAGGCGGACTCTCAACCACTGCGCCACCAGGGAAGCCCAAAAGGAAGTTCTTCATGGGGAAAAAATATACCTGACAGAAACTTGGAATCTCACAAAGAAATGACGGTTTTTGGAAATGGTTAAAATGAAGGTAAATATAAAAGACTATGGGGCTTCCCTGGTGGCGCAGTGGTTGGGAGTCCACCTGCCGATGCAGGGGACACGGGTTCGTGCCCCGGTCTGGGAAGATCCCACGTGCCGTGGAGCGGCTGGGGCCGTGAGCCATGGCCGCTGAGCCTGCTCGTCCGGAGCCTGTGCTCCACAATGGGAGAGGCCACAACAGTGAGAGGCGCACGTACCACAAAAAAAAAAAAAAAGACTATGAAAAAGTTTTCTAAGTCACTCTAAAAGACAACTGTCTAAAGCAAAAACAGTAGTTACATATTGTGGTTTTACAACATATATAAAACTTAGGACAGTATCATAAAATTGGGGAAGAA